AATAACAAATTAAATGCATGAAATCTTTGCTGATGCTAGCACCAGGTTATTTCAGCTGACAATCTACCGCAGGAACATCAGAGTCTTTCTAGGACAACAGTCCTAGTGCTGGCAAAGTCCAGCCAGCCCACTATCAAGACAGATATCTGTGTTCTCTGTCCTCCTATAGCAGGAAACAACTTCTGTCAGCTGAATCAGGGGGAGAGCGCGAGGGGGGTGTGCATGTTTTTTAAGCTGATCTGTGTATAAATCCAATTATTTGTCCTTACTGTAGTGTGCTAGGGGGAGTTTTGTTTAAATAATTTTTCCTGGCTGGCTTGGAAAATGAGGAAACATCTAAAAGCAAAGCAAACAAACAAGCAAAACAAACCAGATGCTCCTTCTGGTGCACAACAGATGAAAGTTTTCAGCTACCCAGACATCCTTAATTATTTTCAGCAACTAAGTAACCTGGATAAAGTTGCTCACTGTAGTAAAGGTTTTGCATTCCTCTGCTGAGTTAATCTCATCTTGGAGCACTTGACATTTCATCGAAAACAGAGCTTTTTTTTCTTGCAATCAAAAGAGAGTAAAGGTAGGAAATGAATCTAACAACATCTTTTTTCTATAGTACCTAGAGAAGCCAAGAAAGGGAGTTTTAGGGGATTTTATGCTATTGCTACTAAGCAATAGCAGAGAGCCATCTTAGACACATCAGTCAGCCCACTGGAGCCTTTATCCCTAAGTACTCAAGAATCAGCTTTTTAAATTGTTCATATTATTTATTACCTTATATAAGAAGAAATGATGACGATGAAGACAAAAAGATTACCTGCATTACATAGCAGTCATCAGTGGCTTTGTGTGCATTTATTCCCCAAGGTGTAGTTTATTTGTATCTAGGATTTTAGTTCAGGATCAACTGAGAACCCTCAAGAACTACCATGAACAGTTTTCTACAGAAGGAATGCTTTACATTTCCCTCTGTTTATGCTCTGGCTTTCAATGGGTAAAAGCTAGAGAGCCCAGTTCCAAATGCAAATCACAGGTCATATATATCAAAAGGTGCTGGACAGGCCATCAGAAGGGAACCTCTATTAGCAACCATCAGTAGGAAATATAACTACAGTTTCTATGAATTTTGTACTCACATCTGGATATTATATAAAGATCTCATCACATCAGTGATGCTCTGAATGGGTACAGTTTGACAGCAGCAAATCTTGGGATATTACATTTTAAGAGTGATGTATAATAAGACACCGTTTCATGATGTAAATATATTACCTAATATACGCTTGGCAGACCAGTATCTTGAAAGACAGCCTCTAAAAATACTACTAGCTTGTCATCTTATTTTTTATAGAACACCTTGTATTTCAAGCAATGGAAAGCAACTCAATTTGAAATCACTGGTATTCTTTTCTAAATCAAATTACTCTGAATATTTCCAGTAACTGAATAAGGTCATGTAAATCCAGGTTCTGGCTTGACCATGAACACCTGAGGCATGATCTCCAAAAAGCAGGCTGCTTGGTTACAATGAGGGGGATGTGTATTTCTGCGTGTATGCACATGTAGAATGTGGAATAGGAACCGGAAAAGTACAACCTCCTTTGCCAAACCACTTCATGTTGCATAGAGGATTTTCCCCATGTACTGTGGTGCTCAAGCAAACACATTGGCATCAGATAGCCCACTGCACTAATTGTTCAAGAGCACACGGGGTTATTGCCTGCTCAAAAAAACTTTAATTGAAACAATAGGAAAGGGATACAGAAAATTGAGCAAGAGTTGCATTCCATCACCATGTCTGGTAACTGAAGAATTTATCCTGGAATGGGAAAAATGGATAGTTCAATTCTAAAAACAGGTAATTTGGTACTGCTGTTACGGTGGCTTTCTCTCATTGGTCACAAGTACCACAAAGAAGCACCATTCTCAGTACAAGTGAAAGATTAGAGAAATGGAGTTTAAACACCCTTCCAAAACTACAAAGCAAAATGAATGAGCAGTGAAAGGAAAAGAGTTTGTGTGGAACCTTACTTTTGGGATATATGAGCCTTATCTCTGGGTTCAGTCATTCCAATTTAGCCCACTCCAGAAAGAAGTCTGAGCTCCAGGACAGCATGATCCAGGTACAAAGAGCCCAATTATTTTGCAAATGGAATTCTCCTCCACATCCCAGTTGCTTACAACATGCATACCTTTATTTAAAATCTCAGCTCTAAGTCGTCCACAGAATTCATGCATCAGTTATGGTGAAGGTCTGTCTCCCACTTTCTAACTTCTCATGATGGACACAGTCTCCTGAGGAGCAAAACTGCCCACAAGGACAGCAAAGCCTAATGACAGCAAGAGATAGACAGTCATAGAGCTGACCTTAGGGATGACATGATTTAACATCTGCTAAAGATAACAATAATCCCAGGACCAGCCTCCTTTAGAAGCAAATACAAACCTTACTTCTGTAATTCACAGAATTACAGAAGAGTAGAATAATTTTTTATTCTTTTCGAAAGAGACCACTGGAGGTGGTCTAGTCCAACACCCTGTTCAAAGCAGTTTGCTCAGAGACTTGTCTAGTTTGGTTAAATGTCCCCAGGAATAGAGCTTCCACAGTCTCTCTGGGCAACCTAATTATAGCTAATTTGAACTTAATGCTCTCCCCTGTGAGTTCTTCATACAGAGACACACACAGGATATATTTGCTTACTAACACACAGAATCAAACCTACAGTTGAACGATCTCATACTTTCAAAAATGATTAATAGGCAGAGACTATACATGTTTCCTACACTTGGAAAGGATTCAAAGGTGCACAAGCATCTCAGCAATTCACAGAAAGAGAAATCTCATATTTATACATGCCTTTGATAAGTCTTAGAAACCCTGTTTACTATCCATCTTGTCTATGCCTGACCTGAAGTGCACAATAATCTTGCCTGACCTGAAGTGCACAAATGCCCTTACCTTTTCTTTCTGCATCTAGCTACTAACACAGTATACTGATGGACATTGCAACTCTAACAACAGAAGGCAACAGAATTCTCCTGCAAAGCTACTTATCCACAGCAATGAGAAAAAACAAAATAGGCTCAAAGATTTCTGTGATTTCTATAGCAAAGCAAACAACCAGAATTAAAAAAAAAAATAAAAGTTCAAAAGTCAAAGATTAATTTATTTCTCAGATCTCTGTAAAATGATTTGTCTTAGTTTTGGATGTATATTTCAAACATCTAGAATATTTCTACTTCAGAATTTAGTTGTGGCAAGGAGGGGTTAAAACCACGAAATGAGAACTGCTTTTATATAAAAATAATTCATTTAAGATCTCATACATCACCAGTGGAGATGTTCATTTGAGCAGGAAAGTTGATATATTTATGACAAGCTATTGTACACTTTTCCAGAGGATGGCAACACACTGACAGCTTTAAAGAAGTAGACATGTTACTGTAAGGTTTATTGTCTAAGCAGCCTTCTCCCTTTGCAGCAATCTAACAGCTTACATTTCCAGTTGATTATCATTTCTGTGAAATTCCAACATTTGCTAATGATCTCCAAGACTGGGAAGAATAGCATCTTCTGTCTCAAGCCCTCTCCTATAGACACACTATTCTTTTAAAATAGTCTGAAAGACAGCAAATGCACTTTTTTTTTCATAAAGCATCCAGTCTTAGTTCTTTTAAAATACTGCAAATAGGACTAATCTCTTTTCCATTTCTGTTAGATTTGTCAGCCAATGGAACATTATTCATCCTCTGGGTACGGAGTTTACAGTAAGCTTTTTTTGCAAGCAGCAGAACCAGCAAAACATTATTTCCTCTGTGTCTGGAGGCAAAGTTTGTTTGCAGATTCAGTGGTAAGGGACAAATTCATTCTGCTTTAGCTGAAGCATTAACAGAGTCTCCCTTCTTTATTAAGCCCTTTATTCTCACACACCACCTGTAACTTACTGTCTCCAGTGATATGGACATCTCCTGTGAAATTTGACTGAAGTGGAAAAAAGAGGACTTACAGCTGATGTACAAATACCATCTCACAACCATCATTTCTTTAGGAATCTATGATTAAAAAATGGAATTCTAAAGAATAAATATTAAATTCTACACAACAACATTTTCAAGAAGTGATGGCAAAGCTAGTGCACAGAAACAGCTTAAGTGAAAGTAGCACTCTGGTTCTCAGAACTGATACAACTTTAGATTATTCTTACTGATAAAGGTTGTTGCTAAAGAATACACTAGCAAACTGTCACTCCAGGGACAGATAACATGCATGTACATCGATTTAATTTCTTTCATAACATTCATTCAGGATACTCTGGGCTTTCCCCAAGCTGCAACTCATTTAAGTGTGAACACTTAACATTCAGAATCTGAAACAAGCTGCCACTGCACTTCACCGTAGAATGGACAGGGATTACTAGAGAGACTGCAGAGTCAAACCATATGTGCACGGAGGAGCTGTGCAATACAAACGCATGTTTCTTTGTGGGGTTCCTGAGCAGAAGACAGTCACTGCTTTCTGAAGGTCTGCTTTTTCAAAAGTGTTGGGAGGTATGGCAGCAATGAAAATTTTTTGAAACAGACTACACAGAAGCAATGGGTTACATCAGAGCCAAAACTGATGAACAGACATATTCAAACACAAGAAGCCAAATCCCAATTGCTAATCAGTAGAGGTGAGATAACTATTCTCTAATTATATCCTTGAAAAGTCTTGTGAAATTCATCGAACAGCAGGTGTTTTCCTGACCGTTACAATAATACCCTGATCATTTACCTATGTTGTTTCAAGATATATAACAAGCAAGATATTGTATCTTGCTTCACAAGACATTAAATATATTAAACAATATTTTTCTGCTTTTATTCCCAATTGACACCAAGTAAGTAGACCACTTACACATTTATCCTGTTTCTCAGATTTGCACCTTAAAAATACAGTTCTCCTTCTAAAAGCAGGTATTACATTTTTGAGAAATAAAAGCCAAGGGAAAAAATCATTTGCTTACCTATGTCTCTTCTCAAATGCAAGTGCAGAAGTAGCAATATAAGTTCATCAATCAGCAGCTAGAGACAAAAAAAACCAAACCCACAAACTGCTTAGCTCACCTACTCCATTCCTTTTCTGAGGTCTGGATCACTCCCTAAAGCATACAGTGGTATTCTTGTAATACATGTCACCCAGAATCACTGTAGATGATACACAATCACACATTAGCATGATCTAAGCATATGTCATGCTTATTTAAGAAGGTAATCTCTGCCTCAGAAGTAGCATATGTTCTGTGCTATAGAACTTTTTTCTTGTAAAGTAAATACCACCTAAAGCCTCAGCTTCTTCTTGGTTTTTGACACAGCCCTTCATTTCTTTTTTAGGTTAGTTTTCATTGACTGGTATGCAACTGATATCCTTTAAAGAACAGAATCATAGAATAGTTAGGGATGGAAAGGACCTTAGGATCATCTAGTTCCATGCCATAGGCAGGGACACCCCGGCCTAGACCATGCCACCCAAGGCACTGTCTAGCCTTAAACACCACCAGGGATGGCGCATTTACCACTTCTTTGGGCAATCTGTTCCAGAGCCTCACCACCCTCACAGTAAAGAACTTCTTCCTTATATCTAACCTGAACTTCCTCTGTTTAAGTTGTGTCGTGGTTTAAGCCCAGACGGCAACTCAGAACCACACAGTCGCTCTCTCACTCCCCCCTCTTCCACCCCCCCACTACTGGACGGATGGGGTGGAGAATCGAAAGAATGCAACTCCCATGGGTTGAGATAAGAACAGTCCATTAACTAAGGTATAACATAAACCACTGCTGCTGCCACCAATAATGATAAGGGAAATAACAAGGGAAGAGAATACAACTGCTCACCACCCACTAACTGATACCCAGCCTGATGGAGCAGTGATCTAACCCTTCTGAGTAACTGCCCCCAGTTTATATAGTGGGCATGACGTGCTGTGGTATGGAATACCACTTTGGTCAGTTTGGGTCAGGTGTCCTGTCTCTGCTTCCTCCTGGCTTCCCCTCCTCCCTGGCAGAGCATGAGGCTCAGAAAATCCTTGGTCAGAGTAAACATGACTTAGCAACAACCAAAAACATCAGTGTTATCAGCGCTGTTCTCAGGCTGAAAGTCAAAAACACAGCACTGCAGCAGCTACTAAGAAGGAGAAAAATAACTGCTACTGCTGAACCCAGGACAAGTTGGAACCTGTTACGTCTCGTCCTATTGCTACAGTCCCCTTGTAGGCCCCCTTCAGATATTGGAAGGCTGCTACATGAATCCCTATTTATTGTGCTAAAAATTGGATGCAAACTATCAAAAGTATAGGCAAACACAAGTAATAGATTTATGGCTAGTTACACAACTGCTAAATTGAGACAGGCTTATTAGCTAGCACCCCACTTCCTATCTTGGTAATTATACCTATTATTCCTATATATGCTACTAACACATAAGAAGCCTGGTAGCTTTCACAAACTCATAGACTCTAAATAATTCCAACTCTCAGTAGGATCTGACAATATTTGCAAAGCAAATACAGGGCACATCTACATGGAATCTCTGCACCTATTGCCAATACCCACAGCCAGCTCCTACCACCCTTCTTCCGTCACCCCAAATAGTATCTTAATTTCATGAATTGTCACAGAAGAGGCATTTGGGCAGCTCACCTAATAAGGTACAACATAGAATGGATTTATGTGATAGAAATTTGGTTGAGGGAATGCTTCAAATGCTCACAGGAGCATTTATCCATTCTGAATCATAACTGTGCGATGGCTTTGCCTACAGACCTGCTGCAAATTTGTCTTTATGCAGAGAGGTTTCCTCTGGTTGCCCCTCAAACTCACATAAAATGTAAAGGCATTTCCCAATATAAAGCTACACTGCTTTACAAAATCAAAAAACAAACAAATGCACCAAAACCAAAGTAGTGGTATTACCAGATATACCTCCAACATGACCCATGATGAAAATATACTTCATTGGACAACTAAACATTTGACATTGGAGAACCTCCTTTTCACTCCCAGGTAAAGACAACCTATCTAAGTTTGCATTTTAATGCTAAATGTGTAAGGGACTTTTTTTTATATGGTTAAAATGCAGACATTCCAACTCTAACTATTCTATGATTCTATAGTTAGTCTGCTCTATTTTTCAGCATAAAAGTATTTGCGGTGGCATAGAAAAAGATCTGTTTCACGTGTAATATAAGATGATCATATATGATGTTATAATTAGAAAGAAAGAAGAAGAGGTTTAGCAGTAAAACGTCTACCTTTCAAATGAAGGTCCAGCACTAGTAAAGCCAACTGTGGCTACTTCTGAACTTGCCATATAATAGATACACAAATATATTGGTTTATGTAATTATCATCTCAGGAGGTAAGACACTAGAAAAGCCAACATACCAGCATTTCCCAAGCTTGCTACTAATTAAATCATACACACACAGGTTCAATTCAAGGATGATCAAAGTTAATGAAAAAAATCCCATTTAATTCAATGAGCTGTGGATCAGTTCCAGACAGCTAGCTGCTACTCCATCCTCTTTCTTCTTTATCAAAAGGACTCCAACAGTGTGAATGTGAAGAGAACTCCGTATGAGTCTACAGACTGCGTATCTCCCCTCACATTTGAATTTTAAATTAATTATTGACAGTTGACTACATTACATACAATTAGGCAATCTTTTCCATAAAGATATGTTAGAGGCTATTCCAGGTTTTGAAGGAAAACATACTACTATTATTGTTAAATAAACAGCTTCAAGAGATTTCAACTATTTCTTTCACAAACATGTTTATCCTCACTGTACATGTATGTGCCGCATTGTTCACCACTGCAGCAATATATCGCCAAATCTGAGCATGGAAAATGTCAGTCCAACGTACTGGAAACAGAGCACTAAATTTATAACGCTTCCTAACATTAACAGAAAGATAATCTAAAGTCATCTAAAGTCAAAGAAGTGAAGAATGAATGTTAAGATCAAATAACTATTTTTAATTAGATTTCAAAGGCATTGTCATTTTTGAACAACTTCAGTAAACTGGACATTACATTTCTGAAACCTATCTGAATATCCTTATTCAATTCTTGATAACAATGCTTTTTCACATTCTATTTTTCACTAAATGCTTGTATCAAAAATGAGAATTTAATTTCAGCACCTCAAGACTGGGCTCTCAGTGCTGCACAGATGCTTAGTTGTGTCTCTTTGTAGTCAGGGTTTCAGCGATGTCCATTCAGAGCAGCCTAAAGACTCTCATTTGTTTAAAGCAGAGCTGGACATGAGTTGCTGTAATGTCTTTATTTGGGAATCCAAAATATGCATTGCTGCTATTAGCCATTATATAATGTCTCAGATCCAATTAGCATTGCATAGCAAACCAAAAATAATCTTTTCTGTTCAAGAATCAAGACTGAAAACTTAAGTTGTTGGCATTTGACTGAAGAAATAGGTTCTATGCCTAGAACTTCACATCTCCTCTATCCAGGGACAGAAGTTTACATGAAAAATGGTGTTTAGACATAGTTTCAATTAAACTTGTGCATGCAATGCTGCCTAGTTGGCCACCTTACATCATTGCTCCTTCAAGACTGATTTCAAGCATTTCATGTTGGAAAAGCATTTTCTTTGATCAAACACATCATATCCAAGTTCAAAATGTTTTGTAGGTATAACCAAAGAGGTCTACTTTTAGCACCTCCTTCTATTTCATGTTAGAGAACCACATTAAAAAATGATGGAAAGGGAATATCTGTACTACAACTTTTATTACCACACCAGGTCTCCTTTGCTGTAGCTACTCAGAAGCCCTGGACAGCTGTGCCATACCACTGGGAACACTGTGATCAGGCAGTCGGAGCAGCAGGATTTTATTCCCATGCAGTACAAAAACATCCCTCATGGAGCCCTGAAATCCAGAATTTGAATATGAAATGATCTTCCAGTCTGCTTTGCCCTTCTCACTCAACCCCTGTCCAAGACTAAAGTGAGAGGTGTCAGAAAATGATGACTGAAATTCCTAACATCTTCCTTCTGCTTTGCTTTGTCAGAGAAGACTTCTACAGAGCCACTTTTAGGTATCAAATTAAAAATGATGCTAGCAGGCTTTATTTGACTGGGTCCAGACATGTAAGAAATGGTTCCATACTCTGCTCTTCACTGAGTACAGATATAGCTGCAGGAAAATGAGCACCATTCTAGTTTAAGATACAATAAGTAAAAACTGATTCCTACAATAGGAATCCTATGGATTACCCAGGCCATAATACCACTCTTGAGGAAAAAAAAACAAACAAACAAAACCCAGTTTTCTTCCACTTTAAAACATTGCTGTTGGCTCACTCTTCTAGTAAGGGCCTATTATCTCTGAAACATGTAAATGGAACCTACAAGTTGTGTTAGGAAGTAAACTCAATTTACCCCAACAATCTTTTTACGTAATGCAAAAACTTTTATTGATTTGGTATGATTCCCAGTCACTGAAGCTCTTTTCTGTTGACTGAGTAAAATAGGAATTCATGACCAGATTTTTTTATTCTTCCATTTATGTGCTAGTGATTTAGGCTGTTGTGTTCCCTTACTGTTAATGAGGTTTAGAAGCAGAAGAGCCCTTCATCTCTCAAGAGCTATTAACCCAAAGTCTAAGGTTAGAATTTCAAATATATATTATTTTAAAGCAAACAGAATCTGTTTAGAAACTCTTTATCATCATTTACATTTGATGCCAAATCACATGGATTACAAATACAAATAAAACAGGGCAAAATAAAAAGTATAGGGAAAAGCAGTTTGCCTACACAGGCTGCAGTATTGACTGGCACGCTGTAAAAAGAAAAGATACAACCCACTACATGAGTTTCTAAATGACACAGTTCATTCCAACCAATTTAACCTACACAAAGTGCCCGATGCACATGAACAGCAGGATCTGCAAACAATACAGACAGCTCTGCCAGCAGGTCTCACACACTCACAGTGTCTGTCTCAATACAGTTGGTCTCACAGTAACACAAAGTTCAGGAGGTAAAACAAAACTGAAGTAAAATTTCCCTGCTAAACATGTGCAGTTTGATTTTCTTTACCCTAGTCTTTTTAGCAAACATTTACTATATATACATATTTATTTTGTAAGTACTTTGGTGTTATTTCCTTAATTCCAGTACTAAAATTACCTGTATTTCTTCCTAATTCCACATGACTTTATCAAGCCTGTATGCTGCCTCATCCATCTTCCAACACGCTGCTGGGCTTCAAGATTAAAGACTTACTTTGCTCTTTTAAGAGCAAGTGTACTTAAGAAGACTCAAAAGAATTAACTGTCTTGCCAACCTCCATTAGTAAGCTTGAAAATTTTACTTTCCATATTCTATAGTTATGAACTTACATGTCTAACCAAGATAGAAACCTTATTTGCAAATATTCTACTTATATTATGAATCATTTTCTGTAACTAAAGAAATGCATTATGTTTAAAGCCTAAGGGTAAGAAAGCAGTCTTTTTCCTTAAAAATACTTCAACTGCAACAAGTAATACTGAATTATAGACAATGCTCCTGAGAAATATGAGAATTTTTACAATAAAATCTCTCAATTTAAAGTTCTGCCTATTCAGATAAATACAAGTCAGATTTTGTAATGGATTTTCTTTATCCTGTTCTAACTTCCTGATACAACTGTGCATGTTTTGTGTTAGTTTATGGCATACGTCTGAACACCTCAAGCTTTACAGTGTTCAAGAGGTGCTGACATCTACAGCTTGTTAAAAAAGAGCTAGTTCCAAGATATTCTGTAGCAAGCAAAGCAAGGAGATTATGAATTTAAAATACAGGTTTAAATTGTGTCTCTGTCAAGTCCTACTATCACATAATAAAAAAGTTTGAGAGTGTTAGAGTGAAAAGAACAAGACTATTTTCACTAACTTCTTTCTTCATCATTAATGCTAGATAATACAATATATTTTGGTCCATGGCTTGTAGGATAACAGGCTCCCAAGCATCTTCATGCTTTTTTGTTTAATGTTACCAGGTAACATCTCCTATAAGGCTTGTTAATGCTAATATACTTACCCCAGATAAAGTACGGAACAAAGAACAGAAGAAAACCTTTGTCTGAAAGGCCTTGAGAAAGACATATACTTTAAAGCCACACTTCCCTCAGAGCAAGCCTCAGTGAAAGAAAGCTTTAACAGAGCTCAGGATACACACGTTTCAAACTATGGAACACAGAAGTATTTCTCCATCCAGCCTTTAGACAACAAAGGCAACATCCCCTCATCTTGCATTTTGAGCCAAGATACGCACATTGACAGGCTGGAAGAAGCTATACAAGTTAGGAAAAAAAAAAAGACGATAACATGAAGAATCAAATCTTTATTATTAACGACGAATAAGGTGTTATAGCTCAAGGCCACATATGACAAAAACTTCACTTAATGCCATGTTAATTATATACTAAAAGAATCAAAGACATAATCGTTGCCTTTTTTTTTCTCTTTAAAATAATTTGTAGAATTGCACTTTGCAACATGCTGAAAGTTCCACAACAGGCCCAGCAGACTCTGTCACTCAAGGTCTGGAATGACAGCAGTAAGGGACACTGGGATCAAATGAACTCCTAGTATCAGGTGAGGAAATAGGATTTGGTAGAACCTGCAATACCTCTGAAACAGTGTTTATAAAAAAGTTATGTAAGAAAACAGCACTGGGAACCCAGTAAAAGAAACTAGTATAAGCATGGTTTTCCCACATACTTAGTTCAAGTCTTTACCTATCCAGCATAGTTTATTGTCTGTAGAACGAATATTACATTAAGAATATAACCTACCACAAGAAAACTGAAAAAAATGGCATCATCGTCTTGACATATATTGGGAGTGGAGGGGTAGAGAATAAGAACCACAGCCTGTGCAGGAAGGGAGAGGGCAGAAAAGAAAGCCAAAAAAGAAAGAGAGAGGTGTCAGAAAAAGACTGAAACTCCTACCATCTTTCTTCTGTTTACCTTTATCAAGTAACATCTCTATCTGTTTAGAACAACTTTCTTCCATGAAAGTTCACAAAGCTAGTGTGCCAACATAAAAAGCAAGTAGCTTTTCTAACTTCAACAACCCTACACAGATCTGATATTTAATTACCTCTTCAGTATTTCATAATTTTACATGTACAACACCATATTTGTTTATTTTAGACTATTATCTCTCCAATGCAATTTTTCACCCTGAAAGTAATAAGTATAATAAAATCAAAGCTAAAAAAATAAATTAAAAAAGCTATGTTTACAGCCAAAATAAACAAGACAATGAAAAGATTATGCTAATACTCTCAGAAGTAAGAACACTGTCAATGAAGATCTTGAACACTGTTTTGAAAGTCAAATCAATCTTGAAATCATGCTAAAAAAATTTAGAAGCACCACGAAATCTCCATGAGGACCCTGATAATCTGCTCTGTTCATCTGTTTTTCTCCATTTTAGATGCAGCACACATACTTCATCAAGAATCATTTCCAAAAAAAGGCAAAAATTATTCAATTATTAAAATCACCTGCAGAAAAAAAAAATTGAAGGAAATAAAACATGTATAGTGCATGGGTAAAAAAAAAAAAAAAAAAAAAATCCCCCAAAACAGAACACAAAAAAAGCAAAACTGATCCTAGGCTACAAAGCATACCTGAAAAAGCTAATCACAGAAATTTTAGAACAAGGAGATACTTAATTCAGCACTCCAAACAGATGAACTCTCGTTTATTTTCCCAGAACAGTACTTCAAACTGTTTCTTCCCTCATTTCACTTTCCTGCTTTTCTGCAGGATGTTAAATCTATTCCTATAGGTGAAGTGGCAGTTCAACTTCATAGGTCTGTATCCCCACCTAAATCCATCCTCAACCCCCATTTGAGATAAGATACAAAACTTCATGAAGAGACATTACCTTTAGCTTATTCTGCTATGAGGTCAGGAACTTGACAGACTGAAAGGTTAACAGATGGATCTGTAAGGCTGTACCTATTGCCTCTCCCAAGAGCTCACTGTCCATTCATCAGAGCATCCTATCCTGGATTCTACCTTGCATCAGTTATAAGTAGTCTGTAAAGTAAGGAGGACCTAATTCTGCCACCTGTTTTTACACTGAACAGCAATTTATTGTTTAGGTAGTTGGGACAGATTTCAAAGGGATTATATTAAAAAATATATATATATCAGTATAGAATCACAGAATAGTTAGGGTTGGAAAGGACCTTAAGATCATCTAGTTCCAACCCCCCTGCCATGGGCAGGGACACCTCCCACTAAACCATGTCACCTCTGTCCAACCTGGCCTTGAACACCGCCAGAGATGGAGCATTCACAACTTCCTCAGGTACCCCATTCCAGTGCCTCACTACCCTTAAAGAACTTATTCCTTATATCCAATCTAAACTTCCCCTGTTTAAAGATAATAGAATTTGTCCTTCTGAATTTGCACTTCAGAAGACTTCTACCGAACTACCTAGTATTATCTACCTATCTTTATATCTCAGGTCTCGTTATTTTCTTTGTATTAGGAGTAAGGAAATGCATGAATTCTATATGGAAAGCAAAGTTATATAGCGAGCATACATAGTATACCTGTCTCAAAATTGGTGAAGATGAAGGAAGATTTGGTTTTATTATTGAACATGAGCTGGCAGTGTGCGCTGGCAGCCCAGAAAGCCAACCGTATCCTGGGCTGCATCAAAAGGAGCGTGACCAGCAGGTTGAAGGAGGTGATCCTGCCCCTCTACTCTGCTCTTGTGAGACCTCACCTGGAGTCTTGGGTGCAGTTCTGGTGCCCTCAACATCAAAAGGACACGGAACTGTTGGAACAAGTCCAGAGGAGGGCCACAAGGAGGATCAGGGGACTGGAGCACCTCCTGTATGAAGATAGGCTGAGGAAGTTGGGGCTGTTCAGCCTGGAGAAGAGAAGGCTGCGTGGAGACCTCATAGCAGCCTTCCAGTATCTGAAGGGGGCCTATAGGGATGCTGGGGAAGGACTCTTCATTAGAGACTGTAGTGACAGGACAAGGGGTAACAGGTTCAAACTTAAACAGGGGAAGTTTAGGTTGGATATAAGGAGGAAATTCTTTCCTGTTAGGGTGGTGAGGCACTGGAATGGGTTGCCCAGGGAGGTTGTGAATGCTCCATCCCTGGCGGTGTTCAAGACCAGGCTGGACAAGGCCTTGGGTGATATGATTTAGTGCAAGATGTCCCTGCCCATGGCAGGGGGGTTGGAACTAGATGATCTTCAGGTCCTTTCCAACCCTAACAATTCTATGATTCTATCCTATGATTCTACGATTAATTAAAATGGAGAAAGACTGAAAATGTGTTACTAGCTGAAAGGCTACCTGACAGTGCTGGTGTCAAAGATTTAGAAACCCACATTTATTTATAATTACTTACCCACAAGCAGAGGTAATCTTCCCTCAGCTCAGCTTCTTTTGCCCATTAGCTTTAGTCACTGCTTTGTTTCTTCTCTTCAGGGACTGGCTGAAAGACAGATTTTGGCACAGTCACTCCAGATATAAAAAACTTAAACAAAAATAGAAAGAAAGTTCTGTCTAGAAGTGTGAAGGCACGTAAGGAAATACTGACAATTCATCTGATCTTACGAATGCACCAGAAGCATGATATATTTAGTAATACGTCCCTAATGCATTATTGTGAATGCTGGCCAGAGCTCTGGATACATAAAACTGATAGTGATACAAGATGAAAGCTCAAACATGTCAAGGATCATGCAAAATTAAGTTATGTTAAACTCTTCCATTTCTACTATTCGCTAGTATGGGTATGTTGTTTTCCTCATTTAAATGAAACATTGCCCCATAGTTTCCCTTCCTCTCCAGAAATACTCTCTTCAGATTTCTTTGCTTCAGCTTCATATTTAAATTGTTGGATTTTTTTTCTGGACCAAAGTCCAAGCTACTAGAACCAAGTATCACATGGATGCACAGCAATCTAAAAAATGAAAATGCATTACAAGTGGAAAAATCACATTCCCCCTCCACTCATCACACATTCAGAAAACTAAACTTACAATCCACTTAATCCTTGCTGTTTTACACATCCATTGTAAATCACAGTTTTGCTTAACCTTTCCTTTAAAAAAAAAAATAATTAAATATTAGTGTTTTCCACACATCTCATGCTCAGAAGTCACAACCTTCCCCAATAAGTCCTTGTCAGCATCTTATACAAAGTGCCTTCCACTTTTATTTCACCTCAGATAACGTTTACTTACATCAGCTCCACTCTACATTATACCAATGTCCTACTTCCATTGGTACCTTGTCCTAGGAATTGCTTCCAGAAGACAATTACACAACAAGAATCTATAAAAAATTGCTTAGTGAAGTGGATTTTCAGGGAAGGATGTAAGCAATAACCCATGACTTGAGTGGAGCTAGCCCCTAGTATTGTTTGACATGAGGGCCCATGTCCATAATGCAGGGAACAGGAGAGGAACTGAAATGCACCCAAACAGCAGGCTGCCTCTGATTTTTCAAACCTGGGATATGGGACTGGGTAACCTGAAAAAGAACCCACAGCACTGTGTTAGCTATGCATGAATCCCCAATGCTGCAGCATGGAGAATATGGAGTGAACAGCATGACCTTTACCACTACAAAATTACTGTGTGCATGCTTTTATACATGTACATTCACACATGATAAAAAGGTACATTCAAGAGAAGAAAGAACTTTGCTCTAGCAAGACATCTTGGATGCAATCATCCTCGAACTAGAAAGGTTGGCGGTACCATTTGCAACCAACCTGGCAAATGGGAAAACACGTCAGCAACGAAGATACAGGAGTGGCTACAAAGAGATTCTTAGTTGCTCTTAAACACAGTATCACTCCACGTTTTACAGCTATGTTTACTTTTTAAGCTAAAAATTTCAACATCTATTAAAAAACGAAGCAAAAAAAAAATCAAAATAACTAAATAAGGCTAGTTGGATGGCAGCTATTGAGAAATATCATAGCACAAATCACAGAGGAGACAGAGGAATTACACAAAGTGACTCTCAGGGGCTTAAATAAATGAGCAGGATGAACTTAGGAAAGAGGGTGGCATAGGCTGAGCATCAGAATACAACAGCAAGAAACAATATAAAGTAAAATACTTTTTTCCACACAAAAGAGGAATTTATTTAAGACTAAATTAGATAAAATTTAGTAGTAAGTGCAGCAAAAAAAGCCTTTCTGAATTAATGAGGTCATGGACAGGAACACTTGATTAACCCTGTCCATCCCACTCTCATGATTAGGTTTCTTAGTAAGATTTTAGTGTAACAATAACATAGCAAAAATACATTCATTTCTTGTTGAATTCTTGTCTTGAAAATACCTTGAATTTCAACAGCATTAAGGTTAGAAGCACCATTCACATTTAATGTGACTATTACACACCAAACTTTTAAGTGTTATTTGTAACTTTAATCCCCTATTACTTCTCTCTCTTCTGCCTATTGCTGTAACACAAAATTATCCTTTCAATTTTGGGGTCTTATAGCATTTTTATTTCAGGCATTTTGGAGTCCACTTTGAAATATGCCCATTATCAACATCTCTCACAATCACTATGTTATATAACAACATCGTGTGTCACTGATCCAGAAGTTATCCATCACTGCTGAACTGTCCAGCTGCTTAACATGATACATATGTAGCAGGCAGCATGATGGCCATGAAGTCCTCTGGTATTCCACATGGCTACAGGAAATTAGAAGATCAGAACCGAGGACAACAGGAAAACAGAATTCAGTGTTTCGCTCAGTTCAATGCCTGCAGCATGACAGATCATGAACCAGCAAAAATACAGGAGCAGTGCTAAAACAGGTATTCCCCTACTATTTCTGTATTACAACAGAAAACCCACTACTGGTTAGGGGGTTTGATCCCCTATTATTACTATTTCTACAGTCCAACTTTAAACAATACATAACATTCTGCAATTCAGATTGGAAAGAGATGGGGTAACTCACAAAAAAAACAACTGACAGAGGAGTTTGTTTTGGAAATTTAGGAGCACAGCTGAATCTGAAACACATGAATTTCTCCTCCTGCTTAAAAATATTCTTTGCTACAGGACAATCAAATAAATACTTTTTTTTTTTTTTTAAAGCAGAGTTATTCAAGGCCTCCTCTTTTCATACTATGGAAGTCTTACTCCCTATAGAACATTGTTAAATTATAGTTTGTTACATTTCCGACTGAAGTCCACAAGTTTTCTTGATTTATAGTCCTTATTTTAAAGGTCCTACTCTACACTACTGTGCACAACACTGTCCATCAATACCTAAGAGCAGAAAAGACGACAGAGAAACCACACCACAGCAGAAGGGAAAAGTTAGCATGCTTTCACAAATTAAAAAAACAATAGTTAGAAGAGATGATAATATCACAACAATCAATTATCATCCTGACCCCCAAAGAAAAATAATGAACATGAACAGCAGTGTACTAGGAAAGCACATGCTATCTTTGTGTTAAGTGCCACATCATAAAGCTGAAATAGTGTACTACAAGGAACAATTCAGCAGCATATGACAAAACATCCAATATGTATTGGAGAATGTAACAGCTGTTCCCCTTCACACCAGTCTTATTCTTGCCTCCTTGAGTTTTAATGTAATGAAGGTTAGGTCAGGGAAGCAAAACAAGAGGAAAGACTTTTTTCTTTGGGTATGTTTACTTTGCATTTGGTAGTACATTTCATGTGTTTATTGCCTATTCTAAATTTAGGTTTCCATGCTTCTTTGAGAGGAAAAAAAAAAATCTTAAAAAAAATGTATAAAACTGCAAAAATTGTCACAGAGATTCAGGAACAAGATTAGCACCTGAAGCTATTTCAAAATCCATATTTACTTTATAAATACTAAATCAATGGTGTTCTTGTAAACAAAATTTGCCTAATGCAGTTTGCGTTCTTCCCAATCCTCTTTTAGAGCCAAGGACTGGAGCATCAAAACTTCATTTCTCACAATAATAAAGAAGGCTGTTATAGATGGACTAACTGCCATGCTGATCTACACAGTGATTTAATGTAACTTTGCTGAACTCTCAAAGCTAAGTTTTGCTCTGTACATGACAGACCCGTGACTTTTAAGCTGTCTGAAGCCTACAATCAAAACAACAGGTAGGGTTGCCTCTGCTGCTTTTCATAACTCAGCAAGAGTTCTGCTTTAACACATATTAAGCAACCCAGCCACCAACAGCTGCAAAGATGGGGAAAATGAGCACCTCAGAGAAACTCCACTTCTAGCATGGCAACATGTGTCAGCAATATGGCTTGGGCTACAATGAGAATTTGGCTGGTCCCACAGGCAACTAACGAGTATGCTTGACCTATATTTTTCTGTTTGGGTTTCCTGAATGCCAAAAGCTAGCCCAAACCACATTGCTTTGTGACTTACAAGGGAAGGCCTCAAAAGCCTGGTACTTATCAGTGTCTCAGTCGCTTACATTTTTCTACAAAATACATTTCCTCTAACATTTCCCATTTTGGTTTTGACAAAGAGAATACCTAAGAAATTTGCCATGTACAGAAAATCTCCACTTCCAGAAGCCTAACAAGGGTGCCAAAACATAGCATACCAATAAAGATGAATTTGAAATAAATCCACATGTGACTATACTATTTACATAGTGAATATTTACAACTATTTACAACTGTAAATTGCATCAGATATACAACTAACACAAATAAGTACATATACAATCATATGAGCTCCACTAGGAGCAGTAACTGATCACTTTTGCCAGACACACAGAATCATAGAATAGTTAGGGTTGGAAAGGATCATCTAGTTCCAGCCACCCTGCCATGGGCAGGGACACCTCACATTAAACCATCTCACCCAAGGCTTCGTCCAACCTAGCCTTGAGCACTGCCAGGGATGGAGCATTCACAACTTCCCTGGCCAACCTATTCCAGTGCCTCACCACCCTAACAGGAAAGAATTTCCTCCTTATATCCAATCTAAACTTCCCCTGTTTGTTTTAACCCACTACCCCTTGTCCTGTCACTACAGTCCCTTATGAAGAGTCCCTCCCCAGCATCCTTATAGGCCCCATGTAGAACCTATATATACCTATAAATTACAAAATCAAGTTTATCCTGCAGTAGCAAAACTTTCAGCAGAAGACGATGCTAGGTACATGGTACATGCTGTTTCCAGCAGCAAAAAGATCAAGATGCTTCTGGTATAACCAATAAAAGAAATGCTTAAGTAGAAAAAGAGCCTACCAGCCTCACAGCAAAGAAGAAAAAAAAAGCGAAAGGCTTAGCAAACAGACAGGCAGAACTTAGTTTTTAAATGGTTCAGGTAGCCTGCTGTTCTGTGGCCTGTATGATGCATAGGCACTGTGTACACTGATTCTGGCCTGGGTACCTCCTTTTTCAAGGACAGTTTCAAGATACATAGGTCTGTGTGCGAAATTCACCTGAAGCTCAACACAGTTATCCAGCTTCTGAACACCTGCACAAATAGGGAAACTCAGGGGAGGGCACTGGTAAAGCCCATATGGTCATTTCTCAGAGCTGTGGAAAAATAGAAAGAAAAATCACAAACTTTAAAAATAAATGGAGATTTCATATTGAAAATAAAAGCCCAGGAACAGGAAATGGTTGTCAACCTTCACATACTCATAACTTAACCAGTACCTTCAGTATACACAGGTCAAGTTAGCTTAAGGAATAGAATCCAGCTTAAACTCGGATGCTGAGAGCAACACACCGCACACACAGTTACAGCACACCAAGCCTGGTGCACTAGCACTGGTGAACATCCATTGCAAACTCAGCGATCTTGATGCAATTTCCAAACACCTATCACCTGTTGCTCGTTTCCAGGCCCTACATCAACCCCACCTCGCCAGCAGCCACCTCCTCATGCAACACACCAATAAAATGAATATGGGTGCACAACTAGGTTGCTATCACCGGCTAGTTTATTTGAACGCTACTTTCGCTTTCGTTATCTCTTAGGCCCTCCTGCCCTACCAGCCTTCGGGCCATTCGCAGTACCGACAGAGCCCGACAGGATCCCCCACGGAGAAGTAGTGGCGGCGCTTCAGGGTAAACCGAGTTTAAGCAACAACCCCGCAGCAGACCTGAAGGCACGCTGTCCCGGCAGCGCCGGACAGGACTGAGCCGGCAAGACTGGCCCCGAGCCCGAGGCGCAGAAAGACCGCCCGCCGTCCCCCAGAGCTGCCTCAGCCGGGGAAGAGTTTCCTTCTCCTCTGCGGCGCTGAAGCTGGGGCCTTGCTTGGCTCGGCCCCGCCCCAGGCCTGTCGCTGGGCCCAGGCCGAGGCACGGGCGCTGCTCCCCTCCGCTCCTCCACTCACCGCCAGGCAGTGCGCTCCCGCTCCTGCCGCCGCGGTTGCCCCCTCCCCTGCCTGCCCGCCGCGGAGGCGCGCAGAGAGGCCGGCGCGGGTGTCGGTAGGCGGCTCTGGAGGCCGGCACGGCCTCGGGCGCTACGGGCGGGGAAAGGGGCCTCGCTGCTGGAGGACCCACCTGGTGTCGGCAACATGGCAGCGTCCAGCCGGGCCCAGGTGCTGCGATTGTACCGGGCCCTACTGCGGGAGAGCCAGCGCTTCAGCAGCTATAATTACAGGTGCGCTCGCGGCCCGGGCGGGGACGGTTCCGCTTCTCCCCGCGGAGGCGTGGGGGGTAACTGGGCGGGGAATGCCGGCGTCTCCTGGGGATGAGCATGAGGGGCTCGGTTTTGGGGGGCGCAGGGGAGTCGTGACCTCCCCCTAGGGTTGTGCCCTGGGGGCAGGAACGAGAGCGAGCCCGGCGGCGGGAGCATGGCCGGGCCGGGGCCGGGGCCGGGGCCGGGGCCTGGGCCTGGGCCTTGCTCCGGGGCTCAGGGAGCAGCAGTAAGACCCTGGTCCTTGTGCCTGGCCCCGGGCTGCCTCAAAAACACCGGGTTATGGACTGTCCCTGTTGTAGGAAGAAGCGACAAGACCGAGATTGTCCTAGATTAAAAATTTCATTCCTGATCTGGATGCTGCCCTTCTGTCAGGGCAGAAACGGAGCCAGGTTGCAGCCCTGGTTATGCTGAAGGAGGCTGGGTTCCTGGCCAAACCCTGGCACCATGTGCTATGTGCGATGAGGTTGCAGGGTTCACTTGACCTGCAACACACGATGCCATACTGTGTGACTGGCTGCCTTCATGGCTGTTGGTGAACGACCTGTTTTTGGCAAAGGGTATGCGTGCCTGTGTGCTACAGGCATAGGCCTGGTCTCCGTTAGGTATCTGCTGCGTTCACAGAGGATGCTCCCCAGCAGCACTGGCAAAATTGCATTACCCACTGGTAGTTTGCTCGCTTGACTGCTCAGTTAGACCAGAGGCAGAGACATGTGAGCTACCTTTGCTGTGATTCATCTCCAGCCTGGCAAGAATTGGATACAGAAGCCTTTGAACTTGCATAACCATGGTGAGCTATACACTCTTCAAGGCATAAGTATTCCTCTGACCTTGTGTGAGGTAATGCCATGAGAAGAAAGCCTGTGGGGCTGAAACTTAGCTAATAAGCCTTCATTGGTAACTCAATGCAGCAGCACATGTGTGCATCATGTTCCCATACTATCAAGACATCCCCCTGATCTTTGCCGTTATTCTGGCTAATGAACAGAGGATTGTATGTAATAGGGATGGCTTGATGCCTGAAACGTGCAGTTGGTGGACAGCTGAATGTAGCTCCTGTTTGCGCCACAGTAATGAGTTTGTGTTGGGGAGTGATCAGAGAGAAAGCTGAGTCCACAGCAGTGGGAGGAAGCAAGCCAGTACTACCTCAGAATGGTGGCACCAGCCTCACAGACCATATGTGGAGCCTCCACCTTTGCCCAGGACCTAGACCATACCCAGAGCCCAGTCCCCCTCCCGGCTCCCCCCAAAATATATACCTCGGAGGCCTTGGCTGTATGAAAATTTTGGCATGCAGCTCAAAGGCAAGGCTATCACACAGTAAGAGGTGCATCAATGAGTTTTCTGTTTAACACAATATAAAACTTTTTGTTCTGTTTCTTTTAGTGTTTTTATTCTAGCAAATTTTAAAGGATAGAAATAATAGGATAGGTGTTTACCTTGGATATCTGGGGGGGTTTTGACACCATATCATAGTGAAAGTTTTTCCTTTCCTTAATGGAGATATCTTAGTTTTTGAGCCTGTCCTTAAATATTGTAAAATCAGCCACTGTATAAAGTCTTGCCATGTATACACATTACACGTTTGTGTCCACTAAAAGCAATAGCAGTTCCTAGCAAGAAATGATCAGCTGCTATTTTATGTAGAGATCTGCTGGGACCACAACAACAGTTCTGCCTTGGTGTTTATGCCACACCCATAGCTAAAATTGACAGTTCACCGACTGCTTCTGTGCCAAGATAAGCATGTCCTCAGGGCTGCTCTGATATGATATGGTAATACCCTGGAGTAAGCCTAATGCTTTTGTAAAGAGCCAATTTGTAGTAAAGTAGAAGGTTTTGAAGATTCATCTTATTGATTCATTATTTCAGTTAAAGAATTTCAGGATGTTTTATTATTGCAAGCAGTATGGATTTATAAGTGTGGATCTGGAGTATGATCAAATAGTTGCTGTACCCTTATTTCCTTGCTGTGCATTTTGTCTTAAATGTGTACATATAGGTTGTGATGGAAAAATCAGTTATTTTTGTTTTGCAACTTTCCTAATAAATACAATGTATATATCATCTGGTAGTATCTAGTATTTATTTTTACCATCCAAAAGAACTTTTAAAGCTGTAACTATGAAGAATAAAGTTAATTTATTAAAGTAACTGAGGGTACCACTGACAGCATTCAGAATAAAAACACACAGGAACTCTCCAAAGCCCTGCAGTAAACATTATGGAGTGTTTCGAGGCCCAGATGTGTGGGCCAGATTTTAACAGCAGGGAGAGAGAATTTAGTAGACTGTAAGTAATTTCATGTTTGCCCTTCTGCCCTATTACCCATGCAGACTGTCTGAGGAAGGAAGAGTGATTAGTACTGGAGGAAAAGCAATAAGCAAAGAAGGAAGATGTTAAGTTTTGAGTCCAAAGGTGGTTTTTAGAGTGTACTGTTTTCTTCTGCTTGGCTGACAAAAAGTAGATCCTCTGATGTTTTACGTGTTGGGTTGCAGTCTAAACTAAATTAATTTAAGGGATAGTTTCTAAGTAGAATAAAATTTGTTTTTTAAATAATGGCTTTATTTTGTGGGTTTTGTTTTTTTGTTACAGAAAACAAAAGAATTTATAAACTTGTGAAAGCTGTTAAAACATCTGGTTGCAAATGATGGTAATCTGAATTTACAAGTTTCTTGTTTGCTTAACATGACTGAAGCCTGGTGGTCACAACATGGGAATGTAGTCAAACAGGGTTTTTTCTAAAAGAGAGCACAGGACTGCAGCAGGTCACCTGGAGAGTTTTTTGATATCTCCATTTTTGACCGCTTCATGACAGGTTTAACCAAACAGTACCATGGCTGACCTATGGGTAGGCCTACTTCAAGTAGGAGGTTGACTTTAATAAGCTCCAGAGATTCTAGTTAAAAAACATTACTATGATTGTCAGGTCCCCAGCCTGTCTTGGCCTATAAAGAAACTGACACTGGCTAGAAAGTTCTGGGAAACATTGTATGACATGCTTTTGGTTGGTCTCTCCAGTTCTTTGATTTTTCTATAGTTATGAGCAATATCAGATGTGGTAAATCTCTCTGGATTTTTTCTGAAAATAGTATGGTTTTAAAAGGTATTTCTTGATTTATTTTATATTTATTTCAGTTATCCATTATGTACTCTATTAACTGGCAAATGTTGTGGGTTTTATTTATAAAACTATAAATCATATATATATAAATCGACTACATAGGGGTTGGAACTAGATGATCTGAAGGTCCTTTCCAGCCCTAACTATTCTAAGATTCTATGTCTTGTCTTTGCAAATTGCATTTTAATGGATTTTTTTTTTTCAATTAGAATGTGCAATATTTGAAAAGTAGTTGAATAAAACTACTGAGAATACAGAAGAATCAGGGAAGGAAAACTGTCAAAACAGGTTTTGCATTGGAAACAAGTTAATTGAATGCATGCAGTTTCATCTGAGACATGTCCTTCAAGATTTTAAAACTAGTAAATCTGATTTTTTGCAAATCTCTAACCTAAGAACAAACCTGAGCAAAGTAAATAATTGTTTTATTTCAGTGCCAGTTGCTTTTCCTGCTTTGAGTAATACATTTGTTGGTGTGATTTTAGGGAGTCACAGAACATAGAGCTGTAGAACAGCCCAGGTTAGAAGGGACATCTGAAGATCATCTTGTCCAGCCCTTTGTGGGAAAAGGATGGTTGAAATTATCTAGCACCCTGTCCAGTTGCATCTTGAAAACCTCCAGTGATCAGGACTCTATCATAGCCTCCATGTCCCTGAGGAGGTTGTTCCAGTGACTGATTGCTCTCCTTGGGAAAGATGTTTTTCTTATACCCAGATGAAACCTCTCCTAGTGTAACTTGTACTTGTTACCCCTTGTGTTAGCTATGTGGTTCCTTGTGAAGAGATAGCCATACTCTTTGTGGCTGCCTTTTAATTACTGGGAAGCCATCATGAGATTCCTCCCCCCTCCCTCCCAGCCCCAAGCCTCCTCCAGTTAGAAAAGACTTAACTCTTGTGGCCCTTCCTTAGACCTCCAGTCTGTCCACATCTCTCTTGAATTGTGTGGACCAGAATTTAACAATCCAGCTGCAACCTAGGAAGTGCTGAGTGCAATGATCTCATCTCTGCTAGTAATGGCCCTGCTGTGCAGACCAGGATCTTATTTGCCTTCATTGATGCAGTGGCACACTGCTGACTCGTTTTCAGCTGCTTGTCCATCAGGCCCCCCGGTCTCTTTCGGTGAGGCTGCTACCCAGCCACACAGATCCTATCCTGTGCTGGGCTCCTTTTTTATGCCCTCCGAGGTGCAGGATCTTGTCTTTGTTTAACTTCATACAGATTTTGATTTAGTCTGTGAAAGCTTTTATGTATAGAAAATCTTCAATTTACAAATTTCAAGGTGCTTGTGAGAAATGTTGCTTTTGCATTCTGAAAGAAAGTTTGGGAAGTTAAAATTCAGGGATTCTGCAATGCAGGGCAGAGCAAGTTCTTAAGGCATGTTCAGTCCTTTAGCATTAAAGCTGTTCGTTTTGAGGGGGGAAGGTTTGTGATTCTGATGTTTTGGCATTAAGCTTAGTATCTGAATTTAATGTAAAAGTTTGATGAGACGAAGTTTTAACAGAACTTACACTTTTACAGTTTGAGGTCTTCTGCTGCATGAAATCAGTAATAAACAATGCTAACAAATAAAATGCTTGATTTTTTTTTTTTTTTTCTTTTTTTTGTTTTTTCCTTTGTGGCAATGAGTTGTTACTCCCATAAGCCTGAAAAAGGTTTTTTTTTTTGTGGTCAGTGTCATTAAATTTAGCATGGATTCCCTGTGTGTAGATGTGGTAACTCTTACTGATACACATAAATAAGCTGATCTGTGTTAAAGAAAATATTTCAGCTGGTTATGGCTGTGTGTGCATTATTTAGTCTGCTTTTTGGAAACAGGAAAATGCAAAAAGGAACTATGTTA